TCCCCTGCGGGTAGCCACGCCCACCTGGAGCACAGCCGAGCCGACCACGTGCACAGTGTCATCACCATGCGCAAGCCGGGGGTGCGGTGCGGCTGTATTTAGGTTGCACGCACACACGCGCACACACGCACACACGCAAGCGCACGCACACGGTGTGCGGGCTGGCGCTGCGGAAGGCTTGGGCCGCGGTGCAGACCGTCTGAGGGTGGTTGGATGGGCAGGGAGGCGAGTAGGCATAGATGGCTGGCAGCGGGCGGCTGGGGCCCATGCCAGCCCGCAACCGCCCTCGGCTGCCTCGCTTTCGCACAATGCTGCTCTGACTGCTCTGCCCCTTCCCTGCCAGACTGCCGGACTGGTTGGCTCCACCCTCTTGCCACCCTCCCACCACCCTCCCATCTGCCGCCTGCCTGCTGCCCACAGGGCCGCCCCTCGCCGCCGTCTCTGGAGGCGCTGCCAGAGGGCGCGGAGGAGGCCTTGGCGGAGGTGCGGTACGGCTGTACCGCCAGGACCCTTGCTTCCCTAGCTGTGCTGCCTCCGCGGGACCGCCAGCTCAGCCTTGGCTGGTACCGCCCCGCCTGCCCGCAGCAGCAGCCCCTTGTCAGCTCGGCCTCGTGCTGCCGCACAGAGCCTGCCAGCCCCTCACCAGCCCGCCTGCCGCACTGTCGCCCGCCTGCCGCCGCTGTGCGCCGTTCTAAAGCTCCCACCCACGATCTCCCGGCCTCAAGACGCTCTGCCGCGCTGCCTGCTTGCAGGGCTCGGCGCATGCCGGGGAGAAGAGGACGGCGGCGCCGCCGCTGGAGGCTGTGGCGGCGGAGGCGGGGGTGGATCGGGCCCCTCTCAAGGTCGAGGCAAGCGCTTTTGTTTAGACGGACCATGCCTGTGCTGCCCGGCGTTGCCCTCTCTGCAAGGGGGGCAGCGCGTTGCTACCAACATCTTGTCCTTAACGGCGCATAAGCTGCAACCGTGACACTCATCTGCCCGCAACCTGTAATGGGCTGGTCTGAGCCAAGCCGTCTCTCCCGCCCCCCTGCCTGCCGCCTGCGCAGGCTGAGGAGGGCGCCCCCACTGCCGAGGCGCGCCTCAAGGGCCTGTTTGCGCCGCCGCCCGCCGCCATGGCTAGGCGCCGCGCGGAGCCCGGCAGCGAGGAGCTGCTGGCTGGGGTGTCTGGGGAGCGGGTGGCTGTGGAGGTGAGGGCGGGGTGACATGTATTTTTTAGTAAAGGTGGAGGTGAGGGTGGGGGTAGAGGGTAGAGGTAGAAGGTGCTTAAGCGTGTAGTCAAGGTGGAGGTGGGGGAGTCAGCTCTTTCCAGAGGGAGGCGGGGGCCTGCCACGCTGCCGCATGGTCAGGATAGGAGGGCTGCAGCTGGTCAGCCCTGCCGGCGCCAGCTGGCACCACTGTGGATCAGCGACAGTGACCAGCCCTGTGCTGCGTTGGGAAGGTGACACGCCGTGCCCCTCCCTGCCCCTGCCCCGGCCCCGGCCTGCAGCGTGTTGAAGCGGCGGCGGCGTGGCTGCCGGTGGCTGTGCCTGCTGGCGCTGGCGCCAAGGGCGAGCCTGAGATAGTGGCTGCAGAGGTTGGCGGGGGAGGGGTGGTGATGCAAGGGGGCCCTTCTTCAGCTGGCAGGCTTGAAGCAGCTGGTGTGGGGGATGGAAACGCAAAATGATGGGAAGGCAACGGAGCTCGTGTGAGCGAGGGCGGTTGCATGGCACTGCCGCCTCGCCTCACCGCGTGGCGCCGGCAGCAGGAGGGGCAACACAGGGTGGGCCGCGTGGGTGCTTGCCTGGCAGATGGCAGGGGGGCAGCAAGAAAGGAGGCAGGTCTTCTTGAACAGCCAGCACACTGCAGGCTCTGCGGCCCGGGCTGCGGTGGGGTGTGGAGGCGTGGGCAGCACAGCAGGCGCCGCCTGGCTGGCAGGCAGTCGCGTGGCGTGGCGTGGCGTGGCGTGGCGTGGCGTGGTGTGGCGTAGTGTGTTGTGGATGTGGTGCCAGCCGCTCCTGCCGGCGGGGCTGGGATTCGTCCTTCTGGTTCTGACGGCCGGCGGGGAGCTGGGGCCGCTGGCCATGTGCCCGCTGCCCTCCTCGGCCGCCGCTGACACCGCAGGGCGCTTCCAGGCCTCGCCGGGGGGGCGGTAGCAGTGCCGCCCCCCGCGCGCGGACCCTTGAGCTCTTGAAATGCCTCATCAACTCTGGGTGAAACTCTCGGTGGGAGTCTGGTGTTATGGTCCCGTTCCCTGCGCGGCAGGGGCATGCCCTGCCGTGCCCCTATTTGAGAGAAGCTTCTCAGGGGCCACGCCGCACCCCAGAATGAATGCGGGGCAGACCGGCACCCATGCCTTTTTGTAAAAAACAGTTTCCTTTTTTCCCGCAGCGTCACGCCCCCGCCCCGCCACTCCTCGAAAACAACCGCCAGCGCTCTCGCGCCCCTCCCGGCGCAGGAGGTGGAGCAAGAGGCGGCGGAGGTGGCGGCGGAGGAGGGCGGGGCGGGGCGAGGCGCGGCGCTGCAGCACGGCACCGGCACCGCAGCCGCCGCCCAGCACCTGGCCTCTGCCGCGGCGGCGGTGGCTGCCGAGGCGGTGCAGCGCGGCCCGCCGCCGCGCCGGGCACAGCACACCCACGCCGCCGCCGCCGCCGCCGCCGCCACGGCCACCCGGCAGCGCGTGCTGCTGCGCCGCCTGAGCGCCGCCGCGGGGGCGGTAATCGGCGCTCCGGGGGAGGAGGAGGAGGCGCCTGTGGGCCCCGCCTCTTCCGCCAAACAGCTGCTGCTCGGGCTAGCGGCCGTGGCCATGGTTCAGTCCCGCCTGCTGGCTCTGGCGGCGGCGGCGGCGGTGCTGGCGGTGGTGGTGGTCATGCTTCTGGCGGTGGTGGCGGCGGAGGCGGGGCGGGCGGCAGGGGAGGGGCTGCACCGACTGATGGACGCGATCAGGCTGCCGCAGGCGCCCGGGGTGGGCCGGGAAGGGCGCCGGCCGTTGCATGGGGGGCTTACAGCCTGGTTTGGGGCGAGAGCACGCTTAAAGCACATACCGGAGCTGCGTGCTTGGTCGTGCTTTCCTCAGAGGGGAAGACAGTTGGCACCCTGTGTGCAGCTGCGCATCAGCCACGGCACCCTTTTTTCGCTGTTCCCTGAAAGAGGGATTCCATCAGGGGGATCGCCACGTGTGCTCATCCCCACCCCAGTTTCTGAAGCCTGCCCTCTGCCACTGCCGCCATGCCTGCCTTGCAGGGTCCTGCCGGCGTGGTGGCGGCGATGCCGGCCGTCGGCGCCGGCGGCGGGGAGGGCGGGGCGGCGGCGGCTGAGGCGGCGCCTGCTGAGCTGGCGGGCGCAGAGCTGGCCAGGGCGGAGGCCGAGATGCCTGCTCCGCCTGAAGAGGAGGTGAGTCCGGGCAGCCGGCAGGCAGGGACACCCGGGGCAGCGGCAGGCACTCGAGTGTGGGGGAGCTGCGGCGGCGAACGCTGATCCTGGGACCCTGCTGTGGCAGAGGGGGGCGGGCAGGCGCCGCCGCCATCATGCTTTAGCAGGCTGCCGTTTGCCCTGCACGCCCACTATTGCCTGCGTTGGTCCCCATCCCCCTTGCCCTGCTTTGCCCCGCCCCTGCAGGTGGCCGCCGCCGCCGCGCCGCCGCCGCCGCCGTTTGAGGCCCCCGCTGCGCCTGCCGGGGCCGCGGGAGCGGGCAAGGGTGAGCTGGCGGTGGGGCGCCGAGAGGAGGAGGCGGCCGAGGCGCCAGCGGCTGGCCTGGCGGCGGCAGGGGTGGAGGGAGAGGTGGGTGCACTGCAGCGGTGCCAGCTGGCGGCTGCATTGTGCCCCTTGGTCCTGCTGCCTGCCTGCCTGCAGCAGCATGTGCTGCCTGCATGTGCTGCCTGCCTGCCAGTCCAGGCATGGAGGCAGGTTGCAGGCCCCAGCACGGCACCCGGAATGGGCAGCTGCCGCCAGGTGCCTCCTCGCCTTCCGGCACACCCCAGCCAACCCTCATGCACGCTGACTCTGGCTGCCCCGTTCTTTCGCCGCACCTACTGCAGGCCCCGCCAACCGCGCCGACGCCCACCCCCAAGCCAGCGGCAGGGGAGGCGGGGGAGGAGGGCCTCGCTGCAGTGCCGCCGGCAGAGGAGGCGCCGCCGACCCCGGCCCGCCCCACGGAGGCGGCACCCGCTGAGAAGCTGGCACCCGCCGAGAAGCCGGCGGCGCCCAAGATCGCGGCGGAGGCGCCGCCGTTACCGCTGGTGACGCCGGCCCCGACCAAGGAAGGCGCTGCAGTGGAGGTGGGGCGGCATGGAGCGGCTACAGCTGGCTTGCGTGTGCTGCTGCTGCTGCGGCGGCATTCGCTGCAGGCTGCCGCCGCAGCCATCGCGGGTGCTGCGCCGCTGCGCCGGTTCAATGTCGGCGGGTCGTGATGCGTCGCACCGGCACAGCACAGCATCGCCTGCCTGTGCACAGGCACATGCACGTGCGGCAGGAAGCCGCCGGGCAGCTGAGCGGGGCCAGGTGCCGCCTGCCCGCGGTTTTGGGCAGCGCCCTCCCAGCTGGGTGGCCTGCCAGCTGTGACGCGCGTACCGCAGCCGTTGTGTCGTTGGACTGGGAGATCGCGCGCAGGGCCCGGGGTGGCGCCACATGCCGGGGCCACCCCTGCCGCCGCGCAGACTGCCTGAGGTCCCTGCAAGGCAGCCGCGTGTGCACATGCCGCCACTGGAGCCACCTTATTGCGCCGTGTGCTGGCAGCCAGGCGGCTCTGCTCTGCTCTGCTGCCGCCGGCGCCCCTGCCCCGCTGGCGGGCGGTGGGGTTTGGGGAGCGGCTGCAAGGGGGGCAGCCCGCCTGCGTTGTCATGGTGGACATTTCCGTGACGCCGTGGGAGGTGTGTCAGGCGCAGGGCCCCGGGGCGGCGGCCCCTGCTGCCGCGCCGCGCCCCTTCGCCAGCACCCTGCCCGCCGTCACGGGACCCTGCCACGTGCTGCGCATCATGCCGCCGCCACCTGCAGCGGGCAGCCCCCGCTCGTTCTGGTCGAGGCGGGCGGCAGGGCCGGCAGGGCGGGCAGGCGCGGCGGCCCGGCGCGGCGGCGGGGGCGCTGAAGGAACGCCTGCACCGCTCCCCAGGCTGGCGCCCCCTGCTGGAGCGGTGTGCACGCCGCCGGCGGAGCGCGCATGTGCGTTCCTTCAGCGCCCCCTGCAAGCGCGGGCGCGCCGCGCCGCCCGCCTCGACCAGACAGAGCGGGGAGTATGCTTGGGAGCAGACGCTAGGCCGGCCCCGCCTGTGGCGTGCAGAGCGAGCGCCAGCCTCAGGCGGCACAGGCTCTCCTCAGCCTTGCGCCGCGGTTGCTGCCTCCCCCTCCATTCCCACGACCTGTCGAGCCGCCGCTTCAGCTGTCGCTGACTCACCCACACCCCCCTGTCGGCCCGCGCCTGCCCCGCGCCGCGGCCCCCCGCCCTGCAGCAGCCGCTCCCAGGCAAGAAGAAGAGGAAGGGGCCCTGGCACAAGGTCAAGAAGGTGGGTGGATCCTCCGGAGGGTCGGCTGGGCGGCAGCGTGTCCGCATGCGCATGGGCGAGCTTCCAATGGCGTGCACAGCCTGATTCACACAGTCTGATTCAGCACCAGTACGCTGGTGTCCATCGAACAGCCGGCGGCTCCACACCCAAAGCTCCAACGTCGAGCTCCGCGCCGCATCCCCTCATGCCCTGCAGACCGTCCGCCAGATCTTCACCCCGCCCTAAGCGGCAGGCGCATACACATGTCCGCAAGCCACCAACCACAGTATCCAGCGGTGACGGCATCATCAGGCTCCCAACAGCCCGGTGGGCCCATGCCAAGAAAGGAAGACCGCCGCAAAGCGGCACCCAAGCAGCCGTGGCGCCCGCACCGAGCGCCGTGCCCCAACCAAACTCAACCCCGTTAAACCAAACCAGCCTCTAGTTTGCACATGTACAGCCTTGCCACAGCCTTCCAACCAGCCTGCCTTCCAACTAGCCCTTTTGTCCAGCCCTTTTGTCCAGCTGACTGCGCAGCACCCGTGCCTTGTCGATGGCTGCCTCTCCCACAAAGCGACGCCCTTCTGCCATGGCATGTCGGCAGCATGTAACATAGGAAAACAAGCAGGTTGGAAAATGCAGCAGGGGGGGGAGAAACAGGGAAGAAAAGAGCGGGGGTGGCACCCCCAGCAGCAGCAGCACCCACAACAGGAGGAGGAACGCCACCAGCGTCCGGGGCAGGCTGGCAGGCAAGCAAGGCGAAGCACCCACGGCCCCGGAATCTTCCAATCTTCCTGCCACAAGCGCCGCAGGTTGCTGTCTGCCACTGAAGCCACAGCCCACATGCTGCGGCCTCCCCAGCATTCCAGCCCTGCTGCTACCAGTCGGGGCAGGCAGCTGCTGTCCGCCCCGCCGGCTGAGCTTGGTGTGCGAGGATGCACGCCGGCCGGCGGCTGCTCAGCCGGCGCCGGCAGGGACGCGGGTGCTGCCGCGCACAGTCGCCTGCCTCAGTAGTCTGTGGCATCCGTCTGCCCCGGCCGCACCAGCACGACCTGCGTGGCAGCGGGGGTCGGGTGAGCGGCGACGCTGGGCTCTCACCGTGGCCGCGAAGGCTGCGCAGGCCAGGCAGCAGGGGAGGAGCCACCGGCAGCAGCGAGGCAGGGTGCGGCCGTCTGACCACGCCGGCACGGCGCCGGGAGCCAGGCGACAAACGGTCCAGCCGACAACGGTCCAATCATACGCCACAATGGACACACGTGCACATAACCCTGACCCCGCCCACCTGCTGCGGTATGGGCGCCTCCACATCCAGGTACAGGAAGTTGTACCGCCAGGCACTGCCATCCTTGTGCATGTCTGCGGCAGGGGCGCGGGATGGCCAGGCGGCGTCGGCAACTCGCAGGCGGTGCCCAATCCCCTCCCATGTAGCCACATACAGACCCACACACTCCCCCGCACAGCCGTGCATCAACATGCACACCCACCACAACCGCCACCACCACCCACCCACCCGCGTTGACGGTGGCCCTGCCCGAGGGCCCCCGCATGTGGAACTGCAGCTGCACGTGCTCCCGCCCCTCGCCGTCGTTGTACACCCTGCAGGGGGGCAGTCAAGGGGAGGGGGGCAGTCAAGGGGAGGGGGGCAGGGGCAGGGTGGAGCGGGGGGTTCAGGGCCAGCTTGCACTTCGTGCTCGGCAGAGGGCGGCGCGCGGCGGCCGCCGCGTGAGATGCGGCAGTTCCATGCGCCACAGTGTGAATGGACTCCCGCCCTTGGAAAAGATATGAGGCGGCAGCGGGCGGCGCACGGCGGCCGGAGCCCAGGTGCGGCAGCGCGGCGAGCGCGGCCCGGGCGCGGGCGGCACCGATGCACGGTACGGAAGGCGGCGCGGCGGCTGTCGAGCAGGAACCACAGCGCAGCAGGCGTGCCCAGGCCAGCCTGTGCCGGCGCCGCGCTGTTGGGCGGCGGGGGCACAGCCTGGGCGTGGACGCACAGGCTGCGCCATTGGCCGCGACAGTCAAGGCAGCCTCCCCTGCGTCTGCTCACGCGGCCTATCACAGCGGACGACTGTAACACACTACTGCCTGAGCCTGTCCTCGAGGGAAGCGGCTTGGCGGCGGGATGAGCGGGCCAAACCTGGCGTGCCCCTGCTGGCACCAAGGACCGGCAGGCCTGCCGCCAGGCTGGCCACTCAGAGCAGCTCATGCCGCCGCATTGGCGGGTGTAGGAGCCCCGCCGCGGGACGAGAGGATGGATTTTTTAGGTTTTTTTCAGAGGCAGGCGGGGCGGCTGCGGCGGCCGCCGGCCGCGTGTTTGCGGCAAGGTGCCTGCGGTCCCGCCCGGGGGCCGGTATCAGCAGGAGGGCAGGATGCGAGGGCACTGCGAGGCCGCAGCGGGCTCAGTGCGTGCCGTCGCATGCTTCCTCCTGCTTAAACCGGCCCTTGGGGAGGAAAGCGCGGCGCAGGCGTGCCCAGGGCCCAGCGCAGGGCAGGCGCAGGGCTTCGGCACTGGCGCATATGTGCGGCGCATGTGCCGGCACACGCACGCCGCGTGCGGGGCGGGTGCTCGGGTGAGAGCGCGCCGGTGCAGGCGTGCCCGCGCCAGGGGGCGGGGCAGGCCTGTATGGAGCGCTTCAACAGAGCAGCACGCTCCCGCACGGGCGGGTGGCCGACAGCAGCGGCAGGCGCAGGGGCAGGGGGCTGGTGGTTCGCATGCCTTGCAGGCCTGTGCCGGCGGGAGGCTGCCGCATGTGGCGCCGGTGGCAGTGTGAAGCCTCAGCCGCCAGGCGCCTGGGCCCTCGCCAGAAAGAAAGAAAGGAAGGAAGGGAGGGAGGGACAAACAGCATGCCCAGCCCAACAGCCAGAGTTGTTCGAAAGCAAGAGGTGGCAGCAGCCAGCAAACACCGCGGCAGGAGGCGGCAGCGGCGCAGCTGGCGGCGGCGGGAAGGCACACGCTGGGCGTGGTGTGACTGTCCAGAGGCGGCTGCGCAGCCCACTTCAGCCCACCCACAACCTCTCCTCCTCACAACCGCCACCACCACCACACATGCACTCCAAGCACGCTCCCCACCACGCCCCCCGTCTCGCCTGTGCGGGATGCGCTGCCGGGCCGCCCGGTTCTGGCTCTCCTGGCCGTATGCAGATATGGGGGTGCCTGTGGTGGGGGTGGGGCAGCGCCACAGAGGGGTGGGGACATGTTGCGGCATGCACGGCATGTCGGCCCGCAATGGAGGCGAGCAGGTGGGCAGCAAAAAGCCCCGGGGAGGGATGCCGCCAGGCAGGCTGCGCTTCTGCAAGCTTCAAGCGCAGGCGCAGGTGTGGAGGAGGCTGGGTGGGTGAGCAGGGAGCCCGGAGCACAGCATGCCCTCGGCAAGCGCAGGGCGCAGGGAATCGCGGGGGGCGGCGGCGGCGGCGGCGGCAGTACCGCGGGCAGCCGGCGGGAAGCTGGCGGCGCCTCACCCAGGCGCACGGTGATGCGCGGGTCGTCCTTGATCTTGGACAGGGTGTGGTTGAAGCACTGTGTGTGTGGCGGAAGGGGTGGGGGGGTGTGCAGAGGCGGTGTTTGACGAGGGGTGGAGGGCAGCACGGCAGGCAGGGCGGCGGGCCCGCCGCTGCGCCCAGTCGCCTGGCCGCCGCCGCGCGCCTGCCGCCGCCGTGGCGTGCACAGATGCGGCATCGGTAACGCAGCATGTGCCCCAGGGTACCACCGTACCGCACCTGGTACTCCTTGGGCTGGAACAGCAGCTCGTTCAGCGCCGCATACGCCACCGCTCCGGCAAACTGAGGGGAGAGGGGGGGAGGGAGGCAGGCTGGGCTGGCTGGGCGGGCGGGTGGTGGGCGGGCGGGTGGTCGGGGCGCAGCAGTGCCGCCGCCCGGCTTGATTCGTGTGCTTTGGACCCGCCCTGCCCTGCCACACCACACGGCAGCGGCACGGCACGAGGTGGGCGGGCGGCGGCGGGCTGGGCCGAGGCGCCCACACCGGCGGCGCTGCCCAGGCGGCGGCGGCGCCCACATCACCGGGCTGGCACACGGGGGCATACTAGCAGTGCAGGCATCGCCACAAAGGCTCACCCCCAGCGCCGCCACAATGACCAGGGAGTAGCCTCCCGCCTCGGTGGCGGTGACGGGGCGCTGCGGGATCTGCGGCGCGGGGAGGGAAGGAGGCTGGTCGGGGAGGAAAGGAGGGTGGGCAGGGGCGCAGGCACAGTGGCAGGAGCGGCCAGGCGCGCTCCGCATCTCGTTGCTTTGGGGCAGCAGCGGGGGCGCGGGCGCAGCGGGCGCAGGCCAGCAAGTGGCGCCGGCCAGCCCGGCTGCCTGCTCTGTTTAGAGTGGGCTGCTGCTGCTTGTTTCTGTTCATATATGAAGATAAAACTAGCCCACCTTGTCTGTGATGGCCGAGAACTCTTCCTCAGCAGAAACCAGCCCCTGCAGGGAGGATTGGTGTGTGTGGTGCGGGATGGGGTGGAGGGATGCGTTTGGGGTGTATGGTGCGGCAGGCAGGGCGCAGGTGCAGTGTTGGGTGCAGGCCGGCGCGGGCCGAGACGCCAGGAGGGCGGCGGCAGGGGCGAGGAGGGAGGGCGGCCAGGGGCTGCGCCTTTTCTGCTTGCTCCTTATGGGTGTATCCGACAGGCAGGCAGGCAGGCAGACGGCCGACGGGCGTGGGCTGGGACAGCTGCCACAGAAGCGCAGCCGGCAGACCCCAGGCAGGCGGCAGACCGCGCGGCAGCCGTGGCCGCACCTCTTTCTCGGCCGCCGCTGCCGCTCGCCGCGCCGCCCGCCCGCCCTTGCCCGCCGCCTGCTGCTCCCCCGCAGCCGCCGACAGCGGGCGGCAGGCAAAGCCGCCGCCGCCGCCGCCGCGGTTCCAGGGCCGCAGCGCGGCGCGGGCCGCCGCTAGCAAGGCGCCGCCGTCTTGCAACGCCGCCGGCTGCTGCTGCTGGACTGCCCGGCCGCAGTCTGAGGCGATGGAGGGAGGGAGAATGGAGTGGGTGAGGCTAAAACGCAGGCAGAGGCAGGCAGCACCCAGGCCGGGGGCTGGCTGAAGCCAGGCGGCGGCGGCGGCGGCGCGCTGCTGCGATGGCCGCCCCGGCCTTCCCGCGCGCTCACCGCTTAGCGCCGCCGCTCCGGAGTACGTCAAGCGACGCAGCACGGGCGCCACCGCCCTGGCCCGAGACATCGGCTGTGATGGTGCACTAGCGGTGGGACTGGGAGAGCCTCGGCTGCCCAGGAGATGATGGCAGCGATGGCGGCAAGCACGTGGACGGCATTTGGGGCCTTGGGTTCCTGTCCCTGAAGGTGGCTGAGCCAGGTGGCGGCTGGAGACCTGGCAGGCGGGCAGCGGCGGCGCATGCGGAGGCTTTCACCTTGGCAGGCTGTGGGGGGCTGTGGACCACACAGCGCTGCCGTGAGGCCCAGCATGCCTCCTCATGACTGCAGCAGTTGTGCGCCGATACGATGGCAGGATAGGGAGGACGTCGAGGGACAAGGGCAGGGTAGAGGCGTGGCGTGTGTGCTCACACCACGGCTGTTCAAGGTGCGGCTGGGAGAACACACGTGCACTGAGTCAGGTCGTGAATGCGCTAGTATGAGCGGTGGTTCTCACGCTGCTGGGGAAACAGCCATGCTCATGCGGTGCTCATGCGTGGCGGCGGCGGCAAGGCGGTGGCGGGCACTACACATCCATCGCAGCCTCCACTCGCGATCGGCGTGATTCCCCGCCCTTGCAGCTATTGATCCAGCTGCTGCAGACGGGTACAGGCCCCGCAAACACACCAGCCGGCCCGTTTTGACTCGCCTGCTCCTACCTCGGTGCCCTAGGTGCGCTGGCGCTGCTTCTAACGAACATCACCGGCTGCGGCAGCACTACAAGGCCCTGCAAGACGCTGCGCTCTCTGTCAGACCCCACATGGCGAAGCCACTTGCCCACCGCGGCACCCAGCTACGGATTGTCAGCCATCCACACCGCTACCGAGCATGCCAGCAGTGCTTGGGGCGCGCCCCATGTGCCCCTGGGCCGCTCTCCCCACTCCCCCCGCTCGCCGCTGCCTGCCGCTGCCCCTGCCGCTCGCTGACTCTGCCGCTCGGTGCGAGCTGTGGCCCGGTGCCATGCTGCCTCGCTAACCAATGGTGCGTTCCACTCTGCAGGGACCGGCCTGCCTCTGCCCAGCTCTGCGCCGCTTGATCGCCCAAGGACGTGGCGCGAGCGAGACACCCAGCCTGCCCATTTGCAGCGTGCCTGAGTGTGGCAGACGCGGGCGTGAGGAGGCAGCGCTGCTGCTGGGCTGCCTGGCGATAGCACTAGACACCCTGGCATGACACAGGGCCTGCACCACAGGTGGGCGGCCGCTGCCTTGCTGCCGCTGCTGCCGCTGCTGCCGCTGTCCCCGCTGCCTTGCCGCAGCTGCTGCCGCAGTCCGCTGGCCTGGGCTTGCTGCTGCCCTGCCCAGCACGCCCAGCGTGCTCTGCTCAGCCAGGGGCACCACCCGCTGCGTACATGGGCGGGTGACTGCCTGCTTGCTGGCTGGGGGATGCCGCCACTGCCCAGCCTGCCGCTGGCGGCGCCGGCGCCCTGCAGCGCCGCCGCCGCTAGCTGCAACACCGATGGGAGGTCGCCCTGCATTTCGGCAGTGCACGGCATTGCTCCTCGTGGGTTCACGCTCGCTGCGCCTCTGCTGCGGCCTGCGCATGCCCTGGCCCGCGCCCAACCTGCTCTGCCCTGCACGCTGCTGACACCCCGTGCTCGCATCGAATCAGGTGCGATTAAGCGCCGGGCGACCGGCTGCGCCGAGAGTGGCCCGCTATGTGTCACTGCGACCTCCCTGCCCGACCGGGCTTGGCAGTGTCTCCACCCAGCAGCATGGAACGCATAATTGCACGAACCTTGAGCCGCCGCCCGCCACGCGGGCTCCCGCCCGTCCTCTGCCCTAGCCCCCGCCGCTGCCGCCGCCTGCTCTCACCCCCCCTGCCTACCTCCTTCCCAATCTGCGCCGCAGGCCCTCTGCCGAGGAGCCCATCCTGCTGCACACCTTCGACTCCCAGTCAGTCAGCAGCGAGATCGAGCTGTCTGATGCGGCGTCGCCGCTAGCGGAGGCCGCCTCGCGGCACGAGGGGCTGGGCCCAGGCCAGCCGCAGGGCGCCTCGCCGCGCCGCACCTCCAGCAAGGTGCCGGGTGTGGAGACGATAGCAGAGGAGGGGGAGCGCGGCGGAGTGGACGGCGACGGAAGCGTCAGCCTGGCGGGCACGCCACGGGGCAGCCCGCGCGCGCGGGTGAGTGCTGCCAGCTGTGCATGTTCTGTCGCTGCCTGGCGATGGGGTGGTGGTGGCGGCGGCGGGTTGCCCGCGCCTGATGGCGCCTTTCCCTGGCTGGCAGCGCCGCCTGCCGGCCCGCAGCGCCGGCGCGTGCCGCTGCGCAGCCGCGTGCCGCCGCCGTCGCCGTGCCAAGCGTGCCAACAACCTTCTCAACCTGCCTCCCAGCTTGCGTGCCGCCAACCTGCGTGCCGCCAACCTGCCTCCCACCCGCCCCACGTGCCGCCGCAGGGCATGGGCGACGCCGCCAAGCCGCTCTCGCTGCTGCCGCTGGTGGCGCTCATCTTTTATGACGTGTCGGGGGGGCCGTTCGGCATCGAGGTGCGCCTGGTCTAGTTCAGTAGTTCTGTACTATCATACAGGGGCCCGGCGCTGTGGGGTGTATGTGTGTGTGCGACTGCTTTTGGAGGTGGCAGGGCTGCATGCCCGCAAGGAAGCGTGCGCCGTGGGGCGGCAGCGCGGCCAGCGCATGCGGCCCGCCGCCTGCTCCCCCTCCCCTTCTGATCGCGGGCGGCTGCGGCTGGCAGCCTGCCCGCCACCGCCGTGCCCGCCTGCATCGTCCCCGCCCCCTGCCCGGCCTC